ACAGACTCACAGACACAAAATTCAAATTTAAGATTACCAAACAGGAAAGTGGGAAAAGAAAAATTAGGAGCTTGGGATTAGCAGATACAAGCTAAAATAAATAAAACACAAAAACAACAAGGTCATGCTGTATAGTTCAGAGAACTATATTTTATATCTTTTAATAAACTATAATGGAAAATAAAAAGAATATATGTGTTTGTGGGTGTACAACTGAATCACTTTCCTATGCACCAGAAACCAACATAACATTGTAAATCGAACATATTTCAATTAAAAAAAAAAAGAAAATTATGTCAGCTCTGTCATATGTAATCACAGTGTGTAAGAGTGTGTACTTTTGAATTAGAGATACTAGCTTTGGAACATTAGTAGGTATATACCTAATGTACATACTTTGTGAGCCTCATTTTACTCTCTTGTGCAATGATGATAAAAATGGCTACTTTATAAGGCAGTTACCCATATTAGAGATAATATCAATGTATATAGTCACCACCTAGTGTGTGTTCAATAGATACTATTATTTTATAATCTACTACTTATCTTCCTCCTTTAGTACAACTTAGTAGGACCTCTCCATTTTTCTCTTCCAATGTTCCTCCAAAGTATATTTTACCACCAAGATCCTCTTTAAACATTCTCCTCCTCACTTCATTCCAGAAAAATTCCATACCTGATTCTTTGAACCCAAATATTCATTCAAAGTCTCTATCAAACAGTTTTTATTTAGGATGTACTTAGATAACCTCAAGATTCTGCTAAATGTTCTCAGGTGTTCTTAGGGACCATGTAATTTCCTCATGAAACAAACATTCATAAACCCATTCATGGTATTCCAGGTCATACTTGACCACTTTCATTAACAAAAAAAGAAAAATTTTTTTCTTCTGTGGTAGTCCATTCCATCTTTGAATAAAAATGACAGAAGTTGGTCTTTTAATACAACTGAAACTTATATTTCGTTGGATTCTGCCCACCAGCATTAGTTTGTCCCTTCCTGCTTTTGATTTAGACAAACTGGTTTTAAATTGTAATTCTGCATTTACTAGCCATGTGAGATTAAGCAAGTTAAATACTTACTGATCTACAGAAGGACTCACTTAGAGGCAACTCGTAGATTTTTGTGTTAGAAATGAATAAATTGGAGTATATGGAATTTTTAACATAATTCTTGGTACATGGTAAATGTTAAATATTTGGTAGCTATTATTAATACTATGCTAATTTCCACTTGGGCTTCCCTAGTAGCTCAGCTGGTAAAGAATCTGCCTGCAATTCATGAGACCCTGGTTCAATTCCTGGCTTGGGAAGATCCCCTGGAGAAGGGATAGACTGTGCGGTGCTTGCTGAGTTGCTCAGTTGTGTCCAACTCCTTGCAACCACATGGACTGCAGCCCTCCAGGCTCCTCTCTCCATGGGATTCTCCAGGCCAGAATACTGGAATGAGTTGCCATGCCCTTCTTTAGGGGATCTTCCCAACCAAGGGATGGAAGCCAGGTCTCCCGCCATGCAGGTGGATTCTTTACCGTCTGAGCCACCAGGGGAGCCCGGGGATAGGCTACCCACTCCTGTATTCTGGGGTTTCCCTGGTGGCTCAGGCAGTTAAAAAAAAAAAGTCCGCCTGCAATGTGGGAGACCTGGGTTCATCCCTAGGTTGGAAAGATCCCCTGGAGGAGGGCATGGCAACCCACTCCAGTATTCTTGCCTGGAGAATCCCATGGACAGAGGAGCCTGACGGGCTACAGTCCTTGGGGTCACAAAGAGCTGGACATGACTAAGTTGGAGAGACTAAGCACGATTTCCACTTACGGTCTTAAATTGCATTTATTGACTGACTGGCTGGCTTTCCATAACAGTTTCTAAAACAAACAGGGAAAATGTTTTAAGTCCTCTAGTATTAGGTGGGAAGTAGTTATACAAATACTGAAATCCTTTGGTTCAAGTTCCTCAAAGGTAAGAACATTAACGCTCAAATAATAAAGTTACTTTGTTGAAGTTATCATTTGACAAAAAAAGAGCTACTGTGTTTCTGAGGCTCAATTTTATTTATTTATTTTTTTTAAGCCCAGTGGAGATTTGCAGTGAGAAAAGGCAATCATGGGTTGTTCAAGAGACAATTCCATACTTATCTTGAAGATTTTTATTGTGTTTTCTATTTACTTATGTATAACTACATAAATATATGTATTGGTTCTTTTTTACCATGGAAAGTACTATTTAGCATCTGGTGTCAAGTTTGCTTTTTCTGTGCAATAACCTCCTCCAATCATCTCTGAGTCTTTGATTAATTTCATACACACAAACCTGCTGTGCCAGGAGTTCAAAGTTAGGACAAAGAAGGGAGATAGATTTTTTCACATTGTCATTTTGCCAAGTGCAGCATATTAATAACAGTATTATTGGAGAGAATGGTAGTTCTAGACTTTCTAGTGGAGAGGAACAGCAAAGCAAGCCAGTGGTCATCCAAGGTGATTTAAAAACATATTTAGGAAAAACAGCTGTGAAGTAGACGGGTGTGAGACAAATGTTCTCTAATTTCCCAGAAGAAGGTAATTCTCTAAATAGGGGGAATTCCTAAACGCTTGGTTTGCACAGACAGAATGCTACATAAATGACCACACATTTCTCAAAATAATTTCTCAAATAGTCATATTTTTGAACTCCTTTATGGCTAGTTCCATAGGACAATAATAACTGTAATCAAATCAACAATGCTCTTATTAGAGCTTGTCTGCCAGTTCTGACAGGGATGTGTAAAGAGGTGACTTCCTTATGTAGTCACCAACATATAAATCAGATAAACAGAATTACAGAACTTGAGTCCTTTAGGTCCAGCACATTCATTTAAAGGTGAGATCTGCAAAGGGAGATGGCTAAGATTACATACCCTTATTATCCTTCCAGATTTAGGATTTTTTTTTTTCCTATTTAGAGTAGAAAATGTATTTCTTCTCCTTCATTAAACTAATTAAAACTCATCAAAAAATAGAATAAAATATGTTAATCTTCTCTTTAGAGACAAATATAATACTATTTCTTTTTTCAATAAATACTTTTCAGGAGGAAAACATGCCTATTCAAAAAGAATATGTATATAAATGTAACATCTCACCAATGATCATCATTTTAACACATGAAAAAAAAAATCAGTCTAGACACCTCACTAAGCTTGAGGATGATACAAATCAGAGATGGATAGTAAACAAAATGATGGGTAAAAATGATACAAAGTTGCAGTAATAAATGTGGAGTCCTATGATGAATAAAAACAATACATTGTAGTAAAAATGATCAGAGAACTATTTAATAGCATCAGATACCTAGGATTTAGTGCAATCAATGGAATTGAAAATGCTATGGTGATTAGTTGTATTATGTTTAAAATAAAGTGAAAAGAATACGAAGAAATACCAAAACCAGGTTCTGTAATCAACAAAAAATGATTTTTGGAGTCTTAGCTTAAATTAGAGAGGACATGATAGATATCTTTGTTTATGTGATTGCTATGTAGTTTTGCTCCGAAATATTATTATTTTGTGTAGCTTCAAAGGTGAGAACTAGGACCAGGGTGCAGATTTCAACCCAACACAAGTAAAGTGAGAAATCAGATGCTGAATACCATTTGCCAGGAATGCTGGAGGGAATTCAGGTTTTTGATGAGCAACTAGAAAATTCCATGTAACAGATTCAGTAATTTAAAAAAAAATTTCGTAAGAAATTTTGGACTTTTCCTGTTTCTACTGTTGTCATTGTTGTTTTGTTTATAGCTAATTTCTTGAAATGTTTCTCAAATTATTTATGTCACGTCTTGAGAAATAATGCTTAGGACTGTGCTATATAGCTTCAATTACCATCACTTGTGTAGAATTTAGGTGCTGAAAATATGGACTGTGAACTAGGTAGATAGTGGGTAGATCTGGCAGGAGGATAGTGAAGAAGACATTTGCTTTTAGCTCTTATGTTCCTGAATTAAAATATACATGTATATATATATATATACACACACACATATATGTGTATATATACACACACATACATTCACAATACTTTATTATTTTTATTTAAAGATTAAAATTATAAGGCTTAAAGAGACTTCTATTACTTCAACTTTCCCAGACTAGGGGGAGAATGCTGTTCCTTGGTTTCAAACGTTCCACTTCTGACCTGTGACAAGCCTACTAGTGCCAGCAACATCATCATTGACCATGTTTATGGATACTTTATTCTTATAACATGGAAATCTTTGTAAGTTCTTTCCAGATATTGTCTCTTACAGGTAGCATTCGACTTTGTAACTTAGCTTGAGATGCCACACCTTTCACAAGAAGGATCAGCAAAGTACTTGCAAAAAACTAAAACACTAATCCAACAGCAAGATGGTCAGAAGTTGTTCTGATGTGTTCTAAGTGCTTTTCCAAAGAAGAATGAGAACCAATATTTAAATAGAGAGGAAAGGGGTAGCTGATGCAATAAAGCTGGTGAAATCAGAAAGAGCATCCAAGAAGACCTCAATATTGTTAGACTTTTTAAGCAGTGAGAGCTATGTAGAAATCCTTCTGTGAACCATAGAAATAATAAATGCTGAGCCCTTTGGAACATAATCTCAATCAGCAAGATGCCACTGCCGTCCAGATTTCCTCACAGGGCCCTGCTAAGTCCATGCCAAAACTAGCAGTGAATTTCTCCCTTCTAATCTCCCCTAATGCCTTATTTGATTATTGTCACTGCTCTCTGACCATGCACTGTCCCTCCAGACTCTCATTCCCCAACTGAGTCAGTCAGAGGAGGATAAATGTCCACTGGGACATACTCTAAGACCCCCAACCACCTTGTTCCACGTGAAAGGACAGAGTGGAGAGTGAAGAGATCAAGGGGAACCCTCCACGTTTAGCTGGCAACCTTTTCATCTTCATCTACTGGATTACTGGCTGGACCCAAACAAGAAGGGCTATGAGTGGTCCCGGAGAGCGCTCGAGTTAACTGGAAAAGGGGAACTGGCTGGCAGGAGGAGAAGGCAGGAGGAGGGCGAGCTGGGCATCTCAGTGCACTGCAGGATGGTGTCGCCTCTGCCCTGGCTATACATTGTTCTCTGGTAAGACTTTGTTTTCTGACTTTTCCTTTTAGCTCCAAGCAAGGGCAAGCATGCATCCACTGGGTGACTTCTATACCAAATCATAGATGCAACCTGGATGGCATGGCTCATCTCTATGGTGGGGTAGACAGGGCTGGAATGAACAGCCTATTTTCTCTGAGGCTGGGAGGGAGGATCACTGACTGTCTACTCACAGGGTAGAAAATGCCCTAGGGAAACTTGAAGATGAAGGAAACTTCTATTCCAAAAACATCAGTCGGATCCTGGACAACTTGCTTGAAGGCTACGACAATCGGCTGCGACCGGGATTTGGAGGTAAGAGGCAAGCCCTTCCCAGACTATGTGTGACATACGCGCCCTTCTCCCCCTTGCTGCCAGTCCCGGGCCCAGAGCGGGAAGTCGCGGGGCAGTGGGGTTGGGGCCGGGGCATCCAGTCTCCCTCCCTCCCGCAACTCCTGACCTTATACGTGAGTCATCGGAACTCTCTAAGCCTCCACTTTCTCCACAGTGGTGGGGTGCATAAACAGTGCTTGTCTCATAGGGTGTGCGAGTGTAAACGACATTCTCCATATAAAACACAGTTTTAAGCATTTGATTCATTAAAGCTGTCACTAAACAATTATTATTGTAGTTGTTAGAATACTAACCCAGTTTTCTTTCCTTCCTTACACTTTGCAATTTGGCCAGAATAAATTCAAAATAATGCAACTAGTCTGAGTTTTTAAGAGTTGAAAAACCAAAGGACCCTTGCTACTGGGATTACTCTAGGATGGGTTGTAGATTCTGGCTGAGAGAAGGGACTTTGTGAAACAGTCGTTCCATTCAACCCCCTTAACGTCGTTGATGATAAATGTTCCTTTGGGCTAATTTCAGGTGCTGTCACTGAAGTCAAAACAGACATTTACGTGACAAGTTTTGGGCCCGTGTCAGATGTGGAGATGGTGAGTGAGCTCAGAGTGAGGAGAGTAATTTTGCTTAAAGGAGGAAAGGACTGAGTCCCAGGACGAATGATAATGGACATTGTTACCAAACTTGGCTCCAGATCTAAAAGCAGTATATGCACTCATGCTGGGAAGGAATGGCCATTAGAGCAGATTATTGGCCAAATCTCCTTCACATTTCACTAAAGGCTCTGCTTGAACATGAATCTGAGGAGACTTAAGATGATATCCTCTCTTCTGTTAACACATCGAGCGCCGATTCTTCCTTACAAAGAGAAGATTCTCCCCCATCTTTATGAAGTTTTAGGAAATTTATGGAGGTATAAAAAAATAAGAAAAATGGAATGCCATGTAAGAGTATAATGAGAAGACCTATTAAACATAAAATGTGGCTGTTTGGGCAGTGCCCCTTCTCAGTACGTTATTAAAACAGTAAAGGGGGTCCTTTGGAAAGACTAATGCATTCCACCTTTTATGTTTGCAAATGGACCAGTAGGTGTTCTGGGAACTCTGTTCCAGGTACAGATGGCTGTAGGATTCGTAAGAGGGTATTTATAGTAAGTGGCAGTGAAAAACTGAACCAGTTTTTTAGAACAAAGTGTACCATGATATTCTTTTATGTTTCTCAAGTAGTGTGTCCCCCTAGAAATAAAATATAAATACTAAAACTGAGGAAAAACAGAACTCTTTAAAGTGGTACATTAAATGTACTAGGGGGGTGTAATTCTAGATGAACAGTTATTAGAGACTTTCATTTTCTGCTCTTTGATCTGAGAATATAAGCAGAAAAGAAAGGAATAGAAATGTAATAAGGGGGAAAGGAGTAAAAAGGGGAAGAGAAAGGAAAGGAGAAAAGAGTAAGAAAAAATAACAAGGAAGAGGGGCAGAAACTAAGGAGCACTTTAGGAGATAAATGTCTTAAGAGATGAGAGAAAGGAGTCAGCATTTCTTCAGATTCCTCAATAATTTAACTATCAATTTTTTCATTTGAGCATGACTCACACTAAGAATAAATAATCAAAACTATATTCTACTGTAGCATTGAAATCTGGGGACACTTAGAACTTGATTTCATGCGTGTGTCACTTTTTTAAGCGTATTTATACAAGAGAGGCTTGTTATAGCCTGGATCACCATTATATGGAGATATTGTATGTCAAATTATATTTTTAAAATATAATCACCACTTGCAGTAATAGTCTCATAAAGAAACATATAAAGGATACAAAGCAATTCTTTGCAATATTTTGACATAATTATAAGTTGCTATTTATCACTGACTTTTGCAAAGGCCTTTATCATAATACTTAAGTTCTTAATGTTATTTCATAAAAGCCACAAATTAAAACATAATTTTGATTATGCATACTTAAATGAGGCTCTGTTTGAGTAATCATGATAATGTTTGCTTTTATGTTCTCTGAGAACTATATAAAATAATTATGATCTGCAGACAAAGTATGCTTATCAAGTCAAGTTTCTCAATCCTTGGAACTGTACTAAATGGCACTGCATTGCTCAGATATACATTTGAAGGTAAACAAGTTGCTAAGAGGAATGATTGTACTAATTGATGGTAGGAAGGTCAACACAAAACCTAGATTAAATCTTATATTTTTATTCCAAATTAAAGGAGAAATCAGTAGGTCAGTAGATAGAGACATGGATTACTGATAGAAAAAAGGAAGAAAGTTGAAGGTGAAGGTGGAAAAGGGAGGTTTATACAATATCAACACTATTGTCTATAATAATATTATAATCTTACAGTGTGAAAAGTAATAATTCACTGGTTATAGTTCTCCTGATAGGCTACTGTCATAAAAAGTTGCTTTATTTCATAAATTTTAGTATCAAGTATGTAAGCTAGTGAATAAACTATTCTTAATAAACCATCTACCCAGCATGCGTGAATATTTTACTTTCTCTTAGGAGTACACAATGGACGTTTTTTTCCGCCAGACTTGGACCGATGAGAGGTTGAAGTTTGGGGGGCCAACTGAGATTTTGAGTTTGAATAACCTGATGGTCAGTAAAATCTGGACACCTGACACTTTTTTCAGGAATGGCAAAAAATCAATTGCTCACAACATGACAACACCTAATAAACTCTTCCGAATAATGCAGAACGGAACCGTTCTCTACACCATGAGGTGAGGCTTCCCCAGTTCTTTGTCCTCTGCTCACAGGATTTGTCCATCATACTAACTCAGAACCACTTATTTCAATGTTCCTTAGGCTCACCATCAACGCTGACTGTCCTATGAAACTGGTTAACTTTCCTATGGATGGGCATGCGTGTCCGCTCAAATTTGGCAGTTGTAAGTGACCCAATGCTTCTGAGAGTTAAATAATGTATTCAAAATACATAATTATTTGGTTTTAGTCATGTTAGAAAGCAAAAGAGAAGTTCTACTCTGATATTCTCTGTATAATTCCTGTAATTAACTTACTTAATCATGTCTGTCAATCTTATGCATAGAGGTTTTGGTCACCAGGATTAAAGAAAAGTATTTTTAAAAATTTATGCTTGTATTTTCTTTTCATAATGGACAAGATTTGCTTTGAAAGAAAAAAAAACACAACTAGCCAGATTTACTGCAATTTGTTTAAAAAATTCAGATGCTTACCCCAAAAGTGAAATCATATATACATGGAAAAAAGGACCACTTTACTCAGTGGAAGTCCCGGAAGAATCCTCAAGTCTCCTTCAGTATGATCTGATTGGACAAACAGTATCTACTGAGACAATTAAATCTAACACAGGTAAGAATTAAACCAACATGTGAATGGAATCCTACAAGGTGACTCCAGTGCACATTTTCAAAATATCTATTTGTTTTTCCTCTGCATTAGCCATCCTCAGCTAAACTTGAAGTTTTAAAGTGATGAGTAGCTTTAAGATGGATTTTGCAACCATGTGCATATATAAGGATTTGTATAGCCTTGGAGTGAGTAGTTTTGTATGTATGTGACACAAAGAACTCCACAGAAAACAATAGGCTGATGCATTTATCATCTGCTGATCGACTAACCTTGTCATACGTTGAAAAATGTCTTTGCTTGTTTTCTTCCTACACATATTAATTTAAGGATCTGTAAGATTTATTTCTAACTGCACTCTTTTGCACATTGTCAACAGCAATAATACTGACATACCTGTCTTCCAACAGGTGAATACGTAATAATGACAGTTTATTTCCACTTGCAAAGGAAGATGGGCTACTTCATGATACAGATCTATACTCCTTGCATTATGACAGTCATTCTTTCCCAAGTGTCTTTCTGGATTAATAAGGAGTCTGTTCCAGCCAGAACTGTCTTTGGTATGCTTCACTCTTTGGGCTCTCCTTTCCATCATCCTCCAGCTCACATTTCTTGTGTATTTCAAGGGGAATATTCGCACCAGTGAACTTTTTCAATCCGCAAAGGAAATAAACTCCTATCTCATTCAGACACATGTTTCATATGAAGTAACCTTCATCTTATCACAACTTGTGTGGTGAATCAACAAATTGTCTCAGCAAGAATTCTGGCTGGTTTCCTATGACTTTCATGTGCGCTATTTTGGAGAATTTCTTATCTCAATTTGCTTTCTCATAACTAGAAAAAGCAGAAAATTTAAAATGACATGTAATTCAATGAAAACAAAAGCTAAGATACTGAACCCATGAATACATAGAATATATCTCCCTTTTATTAGGTAGGATTATAAAAAATTTGCCATTTTTTAGGTCTAAAAATAGTTAAATATCATTAATTTCCTGTTGTTCAGCCTAAATATTTAGTTACCTTTATGCTATATAGAATCACTAACAGTGCGACGGAACAAAATGAAAAAAGAAAAAGAGCTATAACAGAAAATATCTTCTGTAACAAAGCTCAATTTTTTTCTCAGCTTTCATGATTCTAAGTTTACTAGTTCATAGGGAAGACCTAAGTTTAATTGAAATCTCAGATGAATTCTGACTTTTTAATTTACCATAGTAAAACAGATTTCTTTCTGTAAATTATAAAATAATATTTAGATAATGTTGCTAATCATCTTTGGATTATATAAATCCTCCAAGACAGAAAACTGCTGCAAGATGAGTGATGAAATTATTTTCTTGTGATTAAATATTTTATCTTGAAACCAATCTAGAGATTAAAATATTGTGAAATTTAATTTTGTATTTATCATTTATACAAATACTTATTAATATGATGAAATATTATATCAGCATTAAATATGATCAGAAGTTCAAGATTGTATTACTCATGTAATAGTAATTTACTATTATATTATTATTGTTAAACTAAATCACTTCAAAAAATAACTTTTTGAGCAACTACAATATATGCAAGGTATTGAAAGATACAAAAATATGAATGCTTATGATAATAATTGTGAACAATTAAAATAATAAAATAACAAAAATTACATTTGTAACTGAAATCTTCTCCAATAAGTTCCCATTTAAGCCTGTTATTCGATTGCAAATGCTAATACTGCATTTCTTATTCTGTTTGGTTTTAGGAATCACCACTGTTTTAACCATGACCACTTTAAGCATCAGTGCCCGGCACTCCTTGCCAAAAGTGTCTTATGCAACCGCCATGGATTGGTTCATAGCCGTTTGCTTTGCTTTCGTCTTCTCTGCTCTTATTGAGTTTGCTGCTGTCAACTACTTTACCAATCTTCAGACACAAAAGACCAAACGGAAGGTGCAGATTGCAGCCTCACCCCCAGTGACAATAGCAAAAGCAACTGAACCTCTGGAAGCTGAGATTGTTTTGGTAATTGTTTACTTTTCTAATGTTACCCACACTGTATAGGAGAAGGCAGCCTGAATAGTTATTGCAAACAACTAGATAGTCCAAAAGTAATATTAGTAATAAAGTTATGTAATTTTGGTTCCAAGACCAACTTCTCCAACTTCACAGGAAAAAGCCAAGCAACAGTCCTTCATTTATCTTTGCTCTAAACTTTTGGTATTCCTCTTTCATCATCCTCACTAGTACTGGCAGATTCCAAGTTCTCAGAGGAGACAAGAAAATCCTCAGCCTTTAGATGTTTCCTTTGAACGGGTTCCCATATACCAACTAGGGAGAATAAAGTTAAAAAGAAAGAAAAAAACGCTCCTAATGAAGCTCCAGAGTCTGAAGGAAACAAACAGGGACTCCTATGAACAATTTTTGTTAGATATCTGCTTGTTGCTTTAATACAGAAGGGCAAGTTGTGTATATTAGATTCTGTGAATGCTGAGTCATAAGCCAAGTTTTTGATTCACATGAAAACATTCTCATGTTCACATTCATGTTATTTGTATATAACATGCATATTTTATGTATATTAATTTTTGCAAAGACTTAATCAGTGAAAAATACCTATAAAATTAAGTTTAGATTTGTAGTGACTAAATGCTGTTCCCCAAAGCATTTTTTAATAAAAAATAAATGATAGCATTAATAATTCAAGGGTCATAAATGTGCCCTCAAATTTCAATTATGTACATGAATAAATTCTCACAATTAAGTTGCATGTACTGTTTAGAAAAAGGATTGCAGAATTGATTGACAAGTATACATTTTTACTTCAATAACAAATTCCAAACTGTAGCTCTTGAAAAAAGGAAAATTTTGCTCTGCAAAATCAAGTAATGTAGACAGTTTGAATTGGAAATTTCTTTATAATTGATCAATTCTCACAAATATTTCCAAATCAAAAAACCAGTTAATCCTTCCTTAAATTTTATGATAAAAATTATAACACTATATGTATTTTATTTTCCAAATACTGAGATATTTATTGGCTTTAAAAGATCATTTTTATTGAAACTTTTCTCTTTGATAAACTAAGAAACTTGTTTGAGAATTTGCATTTTCTCCAAATGATAAGACCAGTCCATGATAAGTGGCAATTCATCATTTAAAGATTTTTTCCTTAAATTAGACCTCATTAAAAAAGAAGTCTGCCATCCAGTAATCCAGTCAAATTACACTTGAAAATAAAAAAAAAAAGAGAGAGACTCAGAGAAGGGAAACATTAATCACTTAGAAAAACTAGGAATTGATTCCAGAAATCCTAATATTCACAACTATACAGAGGCTGACACCCTGACTTCCCCAGCACTTTCTCAGAGACTGAACTATATGAAAGAGTACATACCACTGGGTAAAAAAAAAAGAATTTCTCTGAATGTAGGTAAGGTGATTTCCAAAATTCTTTCATTTAATGATGCTTGGGAGGCGCTAGTGGTAAAGAAACCACCTGCCAATGCGGGAGACACCAGAGATGTGGGTTTGATCCCTGGGCTGGGAAGATCCCCTGGAGGAGGAAGTGGCACCCCACTCCAGTATTCTTCCTTGGGAAACATTATGGACAGAGGAGCCTGGCAGGCTACAGTCCATCAAGTTGCAAAGAGTTTGACATGACTCAGCACACACACATCCCCACACATGTGTTTTCAAAGGTCACAAAAATATAAATTTATAACAAAAATACGTTAATCTGAAGACCTAGTTCAAATGAGTTGAAAATTCTATTTTTCACAAAAGATAAATTCCAAGTTTTTTTGAGAATTATCTTGTTTGTAAAAACATGTGATTATGTTACAACCTGTCTGTACTTACATAGACACATAACTATTATATTGCCCAAAGGTCATATATTAACATATATCTAGAAAGGAAGAAGAACTAGTATTAATCAAAATACCACTTAACAGTGCCTTATTTGACAAGTACAGTAAAAATAAGAGGAGAAATTCATGAGAAAAAGGGTAAAATGTGATTTTGAATATAGTCATTGATCAGATATCGAGACAAAAGGAAAGACCAACTTCCTTACTTCAATGTTTTAAAAATATGGATTACTGAGAAGGATATGATTTCAAATCCTTGGAGAAAGAACAGAGTTATCATTCCCTAAGTCTATTATTTTAAAGGTATAATTTATTAATAAGATGGAATTTAAGATCTCAGTTCTTCATATAGACTATCTTCTAATAGTTCTAAAATAGTAACATAAAATTAGGCTGTCCTTCGGGAACTTGTATTAAAAAATTGGATTCAAATCATCTCAAAGTACTTTTTTCCTTGCAAGTTGACTTTTTTTTCCTATGAAAAATTATATTTCTGAACCTGGCTCCATTTAAAATATTTCAAGGCAATGAAAAGGAGACTTTTGTTTCTGAAAGGCTAAGTATAAAAATAAAAACCAAAAGTAACCAAACCTAACAATATAAACCTTGTAAGCATCAAGAAATAAATACAGATGATTGCATAGAACATGTACATTTTATTTATTTATGTCAAAACTTGGCAATTGCCTTTTATAATATAGAGGAACAAACATAAATTACATATTTGGAATTTATACAGCACAATGGTATATTATGATTACAAGGTCATTTTTTCTTTCAAATACCATGACATTTAAAAATGCCTATTCAGTTGTAATCAAAATAACATTATTTGGGTAAGTTGGACATTGAAATAGCAAACCAATATGGCAAAGCTGAAATGAGATTAAGTGCTTGGATAGTTCATGTGATTCTAAATTGTATGTTTTAAAGTGCACATTGCTTTTCACAGGAAACTGGTTAGAATGAATGTGAAAACTTTATCGCTTTGAATTTGACCTTGAAATTTATAATAATGATAAAGAAATTCAGACATTTAAAATCTAGTACTCATACCTGAAGAGACTAAATCTTCAGAAGTGTTCTACAGATTAATAATCTTTCTGCTGTTAAGGCATTTGGAAGTGGAGACTTTATATTTTTAGATTTTGAGAAGAAATTGTCCCGTGCTTCTTCCCTGCTTATATGGTATCTTTCTATATTGTTTTTATATGGTATGCTATTTTGGCATTAGAAAGTACTCCTGTATTTATGCTTCAGAACTTATTATTTGTCTAGGGTGTACTTATTTTGTAGATAAGACTGAGTTCAGACTCTGATCTCTTTTGGAATGTTTGCCTAGTATTCTTTTTATTTTAAACATTTAAGTCCTCACCACCAAGTTCTTAAGAATGAATCCTCTGCCACGCTACTCAACACATCCAATGTGACTTCTCTTTTTCATGGCAGGTGTGATGTTTTTTCACAAATTATCTATAAAGTTGACCAAAATTTAATTAGTTGAGAGAATAACTGTGTTTATGTTGATTACATGGTTTATTTTTCTTGTCACCTGACACCAGTTTATTGAGTACCTATGTGTTCAAATTATTCATACCACAAGCATTTGTTAAGTGCCTTTATCTGTAGACCCTTTGTAGAACATTGAGAATTCATTAGTAAGCAGCACTGATAGAGCCTCTTCTGTCACGGAACTGCCCATCAAGCAGGAAGAGAGGGAAATCAAGGAGCCTTGACAATGCACTGTGATAAACGTGGTTACAGATGTATATGAGCTGAAGAAGGGCCATGCAAGCGTATTCGCTCAGTCTGGAGGGGGTGATTCTGGAGGAAGTGGTGCCTGTGTTGAGAATAGAAAGATGAGCCTGGCCCTGATCTAGAGACACTAAGTCAGTTATTAGCAACTTGGGCACAGAAAGGGAAGTAAGACATATTGTCCTTTCTGTACTCTTTTTCAAGGTTGAAACATCTGCTGGGCCATAACCATGCTGCCCTTCAACCGTGCAGAGAAATATGAAGCATAGATTTACCTCCCCTGTTCCTAATGTTGCTGAGATTTCTTAGAGTACTATCATTGCTCCAAAGAATTAGCAGTTGAATTAAGCAATCAGAGACTCTGAGCACCAGGAAGACCCTTCCCCATGGTAGCACCATCATATGACTTACAGAGAGAGTGCGGTGGGTCAGATGAGAAGTGTAGGCAATTAGCGCTTTCCCTATACCTTCCATCAAATCCCCATCCAGTATTCCTTTTAGGACCCTTCAAACATTTCAGTGTGTTTTTCAGACATGTCTCTAGCACCACTGACCTACCACATTGCTACCAATAAGCTGTTTCTCTATAGATATTCTGGAATTGTCTCTGCTCCCAGTTCTACCAGCTGTAAATGCAAGGACATTTGACAAAGTTTGTTTTCTCCATAATTATTAATACTATCATTTAAAAAACTCTCAAATACTAAATGTTTTCAAAACTATGTTCTCTTGCTTTTGGCGCCCCGGTTAAAAGCAATTGCTTTGTTTGCACTAGAGTAATGCGGCCCTGGTTGGAATATCTCCCCTAGGGGGTAACCCATTGCTCCCTCCTCTCTAATATATTAGACTCAATGAATATTGCATCAAAATTGCTCTTAGTACTTCCAAAATGCCTTATGCCGATACCAAATAACTGACTCTCACAATGTCCAGTTTGACTCCAAGTACCTTAGCAATATGGCATTACTTAAAACAAAGCAGTGCTCTAAAAATACCAGAAGCAGGATGGCACCGAGCAGCAGGGGAGCCCTGGAAAAATTCAAAACCACAGGTGTTCCACTCAAAACAGTGACAGCCCCAAGCTGAGCCCTCATCTGGACTCTGACAAAAGCCGATTTTACCATCAACTGAAGCTGCTGAGCTTACAATAGGGCAGGCAGAATCTGATGCAAACCTGTAGCTTGAATGGCTTGCAAAACTGGCTTTCTTTTCATTTTAGAAATTCAACGTGATTCTTCTAAATTTTAGACGTCCAGTCTCTATACTGCCGATTTCTAATTATCCAGGAACTGATTATCCTGCATATGCGTTATTCAGCTCTCTGGCATTTCCTTGAGAACCTTGTATTTGTTGCCTGCTAAAAACCTCCCAGGCGGCACTAGTGGTAAAAAACCCACC